TTGTGTCTACTCAGATTAAGCTGTTTGGTTTCTCCCACCAAAACACAGAAGAATTTGCTGCTGAGATACCAACAAACAAATGGTTGCCACGCACAGGTCCCACTGTGAACTTTCTCCACTTCTTCTGGCACAAGGATAGTGACGTCAGTGGCATTTTTGGCTGTCTCCTGCCGTGCAGCCTCCAGCCTACGATGAGCCATCAGAGAAGCAGCACAGAGGCATGGTGTTGATACGGTTAACTTTGTGGAAGGCATGTATACGTGGATGATGGTTTAGTGTCTGTACCATCTAAAGATGATGCAGCTGACCACTTGCAGTGAACAAAGAACTCACTTGCTGATTCAAACATCTGTCTACACAGCTTTGTGTTGAATAGACAGTCAGTTACAGAAGAGTTTTCTCTGGAGGACAGCTTCAGTGACCAAGGATCTAGATTTCAAAACAGAAGCAACACTAAGCCGAACCAGATCAGATTATTAAGACTCTCTTTCGTCTCCTATTTCCAGTGCCACCACTAACAATCCTCTCCCTCTGTTTCAGAAAACCACGCTTGAATCTCACCCACCACACCTAAGTGTGTAGTTCCACACTTGAGTATCCCATCAACCTTATCCCCCGTGACTCTTATTGTGTTCTGTAATAAAGTCTTGTTGAATTTAAGAACAGGCTTGCAGGCCTACCATTGACAGTGCGAACTTGAATGAATGCACCCAGATCTAGATCCCGCCCGAGCAGCCGTCTCAAAACAGGATTCTGTTCTGGGCGCCCATGAACAGTCTATTCAGTTTCTAATGATGCGATGGTCAAGAGAAAATTCTCACTTCATAACAAAGCCTTCAACCCGTTTCTGTCCCTAATGCCATTCCTTCCGCACCATTGTCCCTCCTGTCTTGATCCCCCTCAGTTATCCAATTCTACAGAGTCGCTATGGGCTTTTCTTTTTTGTTTTTTTCTCCACGCTCATTTCCCAGCAATGACGCAAAATTATCTTACCTGGTGGGCAAGTTGAGGGGGAGGGCATTGACGTGGGCCAAAGCTTGTTTATCCACTCAGTTGGTTCTCAGTCACACCAGGACCCATTGAAGTGTGCTGGTCATTAGCTGCTAGCTAACTGGGTAAGGGCGTCATGGGTCTGTCCACTGTTTTTGAGAACATATTTAGTTTTAAAGTAAGTAAGTAAGTAAAGTGACTCACTGATGTGAAGGAAAACAGACAAACAGAGACACCACCTACAATCAGGGAGAGCGTGAGAGAGCAGAGGGAAACGTAGCTGACACTAATTAGAAAACTGAACATAATACACATGAAATAGACTATCAGAATAAAACAGGAAGTACAAACACAGAGACCAAGACCAAGATGCATGGGCTTGACACAGGAGCTGGGGAGAACAGACAGACATGGGTACATGACTGGGAAGGCTGGAAGATGCAGAGATGTGACTATGGAAGACTGAGGTCAAGAGACACCAAGTAGAACATAAACCAGGACCATGACAGCTTTTAATCTGTTACCTTAATTTTATTAAGTAAATAGGGTGTATG